TATTATTTCGACATTTATTCACATGACCAACCTATAATGAACTGTCTAGACCATCGAATGGTGGAGATTTAAACGGATTAAAACAGCGTTGCCATTAAATTTGAAAATGGCGAATAGCGTTTTACGATAATAAACAATGTCTGTCAGATCTTCTCAAACAGTGATAACGTCGCTCAGAATAAAGTAATTTGAATGAAAATTTCAATATATTCATTTTGCATTATCTGTTTTAAAGCAATAACGGTCAGCTCTTTATCTAAATCTTACACAATGCATCTTTAATGACCGAATTGTCGCTGTCAATATAATAAATGTAAAAAAACATCAAGATTTAAATCAAATTTTCTTTCACATCAAAATATAAGCACTTAGTTATGCTCCATTAAATGTTTGTTCTAGCCTAAACATTAAAAAAGCTTTGCTGTAGAAATTGCACATCATTGTATACTTTAGTTCCTTTTCCGTGTTTCGTTTATTAACGAAAAATCAACTCTTTAGACTATCAGATTGGCCTGGTATTAAATGGATTATAACACTCGCGCCATTTGATAATTTAATTTAAAAATGGATAATCGAGACTTTGTTTATTATCGTAGCAATGCTTCTTCGTCAATTGGGACTATCTTCTTAAAAACTTCAAACTTCAAAGGTATGCCGACATATATACTCTTCAAAAAAGTAGGGGATATTCGGAAACAATACAAAACTGCGGAAATGCACTGCTGTTTTTATTAGAGGTAACCAGTGTATGTTAATAACAGGCCAAATGCCTACACATGACCATAAACAGTTCATATGGGCAACTTATCTGACGGCTCCATTTCACTCGCAAAGAGATACACCGTCAAAAGTGAAAATGGACGTTTTTGATTTTTGTCTTAATAATGAGTAATTGCTCCACCAATCCTCAGACCTTCAGCAATTCGTCGTTTCGTGCTCCTAATCAACCGTCCAATCACGATTTGGGGCAATCTGACCCACTCCTCTTGCAGTGTTGTCGGTTGACGTTGACGTCGACGAACACGTCTGCCGATCAAATTAAACGTAACACACTAAAGCAAAGATACCCTAAACAGTAAATCTTAAGCAAGAACCGATAGAAAAGAAACCTGGATAGAATAAACCAGCAAGCGGCAGTTTTCATCAACCCTTCCTTGGTGTGTCAAATTTGACAATGAACCCCTCCCACGTGTATAGCGCTATTGCGTGTCGCACATGCAGCTCAGTGGTTCTGTTGGGGCGATAAGTTCTTCATCTGTGAACATACTCTCAAAGCATATCAAGTCTCCATGACTATTTATCATATCACAACCTGCATAGGTATTTGCTTTTCAATATCCCCTACTTTTTTTGAAGAGTATATATACATGTATATGCATTTATGTTGGCGAAATGAAACTACATAATTTGTTCTAACGTTTTCATAACCGAAGTTGCTCTTCAGGCATTTATTATATATTATATACTTGGTCGTTCTAGAACACCTGATGCCACGTCTGATGTATTCTGGAAGTTAACCATGCTTCCTATAGTTTATATCCCACAATGCGCCACAATCTTTAGCGATTGATGCTTCGGGATTTTCATTTTTCATATTTTTAGTATTATTTGTAGTATTTAAATTGAAGAAAAACTTGGAGCTGGATGCTTTTTTATTCTTGTATACCACTTTATTATCGCCACATCTAAAGCTGTGTGTTTTCCAGTAGAATTAATTCGATTTTGTCCATGAATAGCATCAACATTTTCTAACAGAGTACACAATCAACTTAGATTAACAACGATACCGCAGGGTATGTTACCGAAAATACAACGGCGGATGTTTATCTAAACTTTAATAGCAATTCTATTTATAGAATTCATAACAAAATCAGATAAATATAATCCCGAATTAATCGATTTGAAACATGATATTTGACGTTTGACGTAGAAGGAGCAGGTAATTTCTGCTGACCAGAGAAAGGAAAACACACCAATGATTGGAGGAGTGTTGACATTTAACAATCTATATTTCATTTCGTTTTTTTTTTATACGTTCGAAGTAAAGCGACATTTTGAACTATAAAATGGAACAAAATAGGATCTGTTTTAATCAGATTGATTTTGTATGTGGATACAGCACAAGTATGATTAAGACTGATTTATGGGCCACTCGTGAGAAGGACATTATCATCTTTATCTTGTCGTTCGGTTTATTGTGGCATTTATGCATTGTTGTTCGTTGCAAAGGTTTTCGTACAAATCGTTAAATGAAATTAAAAGCCTGCTGCTGCTGCTTCGATAGTCCAAAATCCAGCGAGTGAGAGGTGGGGGGGGTGGTGAAATTTCAAGCCCTGATCCATCTGAGGGATGGTTGTCAAAACTCGGAAACACAATTTTTCGGGCAAAATCCCCCCCCCCCCGCACATATGACCATATGCATAATCATTTATTAATCTTAAAACGACCGAGACGTTAAACGCCATACTTTGACTCTTCTGTTGCTAGAGCTGGCGAACGAGAGTTCCAGTGGCTCAGGATGTATTAACAGAGAAAATTCCTTGTGATAATCCAGTGTGGTTTCCCTCGTCACTGGTGCAGGACGGGGCCTGACAATGAACTGTGCCTAGTCTTTCGGATGGTATGAAACACCAAAAAAGTCCCGTGTTCATTATTGCGTGCACGTAAAAGAATCCTTGACAGTTTGAATTCAACATAAGAGTAATTCTCTCATAGCATCCTGTTCAGCTTTATTAGCGCGGTTGCTGCAGAAAACTAAACCCCATTTCAGTTCATCTTAGAATTGAATAGCGTGTAGAATGAAAATAAAACACATTACCGTTTTTCATGGTGAATGCCACAAGAAATATTTATTTGAGAAAAACAAGTATGAAATGATATTACATTAAATAACAAATTACTAAAATGTAACCCAGCTTTACAATCAACGTCATCAATAAATATAACAAGCCTTTTATTGCACTAATCTGAATAGAGCGCAATAATTTCACCAATAGCGAAATGTCAAGTTGTGTTCTACAGTTCTGAAGCCTGATTCACACGAGTGCGTCACGAGTAGGTATTTTTAAAGGCTATAGTGTGAGCTGTGTGAGACCACGGTAGCGCAGTGTGTCGGTAGTTCATGGTGACGTATAAAGTGCATCGTTTTTTCAAAATGTTTAAAATTTTGCGAAAATCTTCGTTAATGCAAAGGTGATACAAATTGTAATGCCATATAAATATTTCTATGAGTAACGCAGTGTTGTAAGATGTGACACAAGCGCTACTGCAGTACTTGATGAAGCTTTTGTGAAAACTGATGGCCAAAAATCGACTGACTCATGGGTATGGGTGCGTAATCTGACGTACATGTTGCATAGCTGCGTCACTGTGTTATGACCACGGAGTCATACTGTTTGAATGGTGTTTAGTAATTGAACACATTAAAATAAAACAACAGTTCTATGGATAACAATTACTGTATTTCTATTAAAGCTACGTTTCAACAATGATTCTCTTGTCGTTATCAAGTACGTTACCTACGCCAAGGTAACGTACGCCCGTGTAAGCCAGGCTTTATATCAAAACTTTCACGTATCCTTAATTCGATTCACAAAATTTCTGATGGTTCTGATGAAAAAAAGACAGAAATAAAACCAATCAAGCACGTATTTCAGTACTCTCTCGCCTCTCTGGTTTCAATAATTTTCGTAATAATTGCATACCCTGAAAATTCTAGCAATAAACGACATAACCAGTCAAGATAATATTCTTGCAGCAGCTACACTAATCCTCGAGTATCCCAACAATTTGATTAACTCAACTTCTGGACCTAAAGTAAATCTCTTCAAATCGTTTTATTTATATGAAGGAAATGGAATTTATTGATTAGAACTTCTCAACAAGCTCCAGATCTATTTTAGACGGCTTACATACCCCCCGTAATGTTTAACTTATTAAAGTATTGCTACAATCATACGGATTCTCTGAGGAACAAGTTAGGATATCTATATTTGGACGAATTAGGAGACATCGTACAAAAATATTGATTTTGTTAGGAGAGCCTCCAAATGTTAAAGTTTAGCAATCAATTATTGTGCATAAATGCGGTTTCTATAATTGGAGACAAAGGGCAATATACAATCATTCGTAATGGTATTATGTGTTGCATATAGGGTAAACATACAGCGTCACAACCACTCACAAAACGAAATTATATTCTACCAATTAGACAAGGCCCCTTATATGTAAATGCCTCGTTAAATACAAATGCTGCTTGCAAAACAAATGATAGCTACGTGCATTTACTATACAGATCATGATTAAACATACCCTATTATTGTGTATGATACCCACCACGATTTCATTGATTCAAATAATACTATTTAAACATGCATTATGTAAGATTTAGAGAAAGGGCTGCAAGTTCTCACTATTTGGCTCTTGAATGGCCCTTTAATAAAATACACTGCCCCCCCCCCCTTCGCCCCCACCTAAACAAAGTGTATTTAGTGAGGAAAGGATAGTGTTTTAACTTCTTTTTAACACAACACTCATTTTGAGAATATAGGGTGAACTGGTCAGTATCTATTTTGTTTTTATCGAATTCCAATTGCAAAGGTTTTTTTTTTACGTGGACGTCAATGTGCACAGGGGCAAATCGTGTTTTCATGTCACCCAAATCACTAATGGAGGCGTCTCATATTTCGCATATAGCCTCTCGATGCAAGTTGGTTTGAAAAAGCAATTAAATGAAGAGCAAAATAAGGTTTGATATCTAATGGAGCCGTCTCGTATTTCGCATATAGTTTGTCGACGCAAGTTGGTTTGAAAAAGCAATTAAACTCCAAATTGCTAGCAAAGAACCCATTTAGTTATTCTTTGGGAGTTCCGTTGAACAACCATTACATTTTCCGGCAAAAGGGTGGGACTAAGAAAATTTTTTTCACATATAATTAATCAGGGAGGGCTCTGTGAGTATATTGGTATATTTATTATAAGATATGTTTTTAAACCTACAGGTCTAAGGGTTGTATGAAGAGGTTGATTAATGTTGTAGAACAATTAAGACACCAAGCCATTATTGTACAAAAAACTTGGTCAAGAGACGATAAACTTCGTACCATTATAGACAACGTTATGACAAGAGAATTAAGAAGATCGTCTAATTTTGTAGAAAATAGAAGCCATATTCTAAGGTAAAACATGTTTGCGTTTATACCCTTTCCCTGAGGTGGGACGATTTACCCAATACTACCCAATACCACCCCAATATCACCACATACTACCCAATCCTACAACATAATGATGCAAAATAGACATATCATTTGATTTTTTTCAAAAATAGAGAGTTATATCGCGGGAAATGTAATTCAAATGCGATACCGATGTCTGGCTGTTCCATTTGCCTCCCTATACCACCCAAAACAAGCCAATAATAACCCAATACTGCCAAATACTCATCAAATACTACCAAATACTACTCAGTATGATCAAATAACAACCTAAAATGCTCAATTATCAGCACATTAGTATAATTACTGCAACGAATGTTAGATATTTTGCAGAAAATTAAAATGTTTACCCAGTTATCTCCCTTTACAACCAATATATGTATATATTTTAGATTGCTACTTAGATTATTCAACTTCTTTAGCTTTGCAGTTGGTTTCCAAGACGACAAACTTGAAATACGAAAAACAATGACGATAATACCATATTTTATTCCGAAAATGACCGATCTCTCTCTTACCGCTTGATAGTGACAAGGCGTCGGGTCGTCTGTCAAACAAGGTGGATTTCTCTGGCCCCCCGGTTTCATCTCATTGTTAAACGGGTGCCGCTGTTAAACACCCCTTCGCGCAAGCGAGTTAATGAAATAATATTGAATTATATGTTAGTCCCGAAATTACCTAGTTAGTATCGATTTTAAAATTAAAGATACATTATGAGAGATTAGATAACGATTTGGCGGTTCTCACTATAATAATTTAAAACTAGATAATATAAAGGTAATTTGCTGAACATTTCATTCAAATTGATCCACTATGAACCGAGAATTAAGCGATTAAAATTTCCGCCTAGCCTCGATCATCATTACTAAAGTCAGCACGATAAACAGCATAGTCTCGATTATCCACTTAATCATTAAATCGTGAAGGAAAGTTATGCAGTAAATCGGCTCATAATCCACTAAAGATCGCAGGCTAGCGATGCCATCGAGAGTTGATTATGGTCTGGATAGGTTAAATAATGTCTAATAATTTAGATAACATTTCAGGCCTAAAGAAAGACCTGCAATAGACAGATTTAGCTTTTGCATAATGTATGTTTAAAGCTGTAACAAAACAAATTGCATAATGTTTATATTCAATTTTTCATGTCAACTATTAAATTATTGCAATAGTGAGAGGAAACGGGAGACCGTGTCTATTCATTTAGGTGGTAATGTGGTAATGACATCGCCGCGACAACGTCACCCGTGGATATATACCGTAGAATAATTAGAATTTGTTCAATAGTGACAATATTCGAAGAGTCGGTAAAATTTTGACAAGAGAGTATTTTTCAAAGGTGCCTGGTTTGGGACCGGAATCATTTAAAAGACAAAGGAAACGCGTTAATAAGTAATGTTATTAAAAGACAGATATAAAGATAAATTCGTGTGCTTTCCCGACATGTTATACCCAAATGAGTTTTCACAGGACCGCGTGCACAGCGTGTTCTTATACTAAAATCACCAGGATGAAGAAATATAAAATAAGAAAATTTTTGAGTAGCCCACGAGACCGTTAAATGAACATTTTTAAATTATCCTCTAAAATACTTTTTTAAAACTCTTTTTATTTTATGTTATGTTATATATTGACATGCTTTTAACGTGTAATATTGTATGAATAAACTATAGCGGGGGGCATCTATAATAACTTGTTTTCCTTATTTTAACTTCGTCGTCTTGGAAACAAACTGCAAAGCCCAACAAGATGATTAATCTGAATAGCAATCTAAAATCTATTTATCGGTTGTAAAGGGAGATAAATGCATACATATTTCAATTTTCTGCAAATGATCGAATATTCGTTGCAATTATTATACTGATGTGCTGCTAATTGACGATATTAGGGTTTATTTTATAATATTGGGTAGTATTTGGTAATATTTGATAAATATTTGGTAGTATTGTTTATTATTTGCTTGTGAAGTACATTTTCTATGATATATCTCACTATTTTTAAAAAAAACCCCAAGTACTATGGTAATTTTTGCACCATTATATTGTAGTATTGGGTAGTATGTGGTGATATTGGAGTGGTATTCGGGTAGTATTGGGTAGTATCGGGTAAATCGTCCCGCCGTTTTCCTGGACTTACAGATTTATCTTTGGGAATCATAATAATCTTAAAGATTACCAGGTCGCCGCTGTGACTGCAGGTGGATGGCTTAAAATAACATCATAAAAACATGTCCTGTCCTGTGATACTTACAATACAACAAAAAAAAAATAATCTGGATTTCAATGGCATACGTCCCATTCTAGACAAATTTAAGTTAAGTCCATATGCATTAATGCATTAATTATTTAAATAAAAATGTCTCGTATAGAGTAGGAGATAGATGACATTTGACATTTCGTTTCTCGGCTCGGTAATTTAGAGTTCTCAAGATACCTTAGACAGATGTAATCGAAGTGGATCAATCAAGAGTTTGGTACGCTCTTGGCTATAATAGGTCACGAGAAATTTCAAATATAATGGCTGGAATTTTATTCTGTCCCCGTGCGCCATTTCATGGTGCGTGTCATAGTCTTCAACCGGTTTTCAAAATCGCCAGTTTCCTTTCCAGGGAGCATTGTATTTGATAAATTAAGATATTGTTTGACTTTTTAATAGTTGCATGCTTGTTTTATTTTATATTTTCAGAGACCTTATTAAGTGTATTAAATCCAAGATGAAGGATGAAAACATCGATGACGTATTCAACAACTTCTTAAAAAATCATTTTAAAGACAATACTAAGACTTCAAAATCCCATAAAACAGATACAGTTCACCAAGGAACACAAATCGCGCATCGTGACGTCACAGGGAACACCCACAATCCTTTATACGAAAATTCGTCCATTTCTAGTTCGTGTCCGCTTATTTACGACATATTTCCAGACTCCGTCAGTAATACCAGTGATGATACTGCATCTACGTTAACACAAATTTATAGCCAATCCACCGTTAGTAGGACCTCGTTTAATACGGACTCAATGAGTGAAAGTCTAGGAACTAGCTGCTCTCTAATGAATTACGAAGAATTTAGTTATAATTCGGATTCGGAACTAGGTCGAACTAACATCAAAAAGCTTAATGTAATAAATGAGGATTTACCTCATGAACATTTGCGCGAAGAAAGATTAGCTAAGCACCTGGAGGCCATACAGAAATTAAGTAGTGATCAAGGTGAATTTATCGAGACAGTTGTCACAGCAAATGGCCAAAGGCTAGAGAGCATTACAGGACGAAATAGAAGTACGGGGCATATCAATTTGTCAATAAATCACCCGTTTGCTTGTTCGGATTTATCAAAAACAGCTAATTCAAGATCTGGTAGCAAATCACGAATAAAGTGGCCATTGAAATTATTTCGCGTCAATAGTGCTCCCACGAAAAAAATCTCCAAATCATCTTTCCGAGAAGGCTATGAACGGAAACCTCAAATGAAAAGGAGTAAAACGATTGAAATAAAAGAATGACTATAATTTGTGAGTTACTCGTCCTTAATGTCCTCATAATTTGTGAGTTTCTAGTCTTTAAATGAAATGAAATGGTTTTGAACGTCCTACTGTTCTGCTAGGATAGGATAATGAAGACGGGCTTACAGTGTGTTGTGAGGGAAATTTTACCCGGACATCGGCACTACGCCCTACTCTTAAAACGAATTCCAACTGCCAAGGGATATTTTACGTACACGCCAATATGAACACGGGACTTTGGTTTTTCGTCCCATTCAAACAAATATACATTGTCACTTGACAGGCCCTCAGTCCTGCACCACTGACAAGGGGGTAACACGCCGAAAAATCCCGATGTGCTTTCTCGGCTAACGCAGGGATCGAACACGGGACCTCCAGGTTAGCGAGTCAGCGTCTTACTCACTGATCTACTATGGCTCCCTAATCGTATTAAGTTACTCAGTTCCCTATCTCCTTATGTAATAGGGTGGTTATAATAATGTGAATGAGACAGGTAAATAAATGGTGTTTAACATCTACTAAACACAAACCATGTCATTTCGGAACTAATTATGCTTATTAAACTTTTTTCCCAATAATTCGTTTGCGCATAGGCGTCTTTAGCAGTGGGACTAAATCGGAGGGCCCAGAGAAAACCCACGAGATTAGGCTGGCGACTCTACTCCGTGTCACGTACCAGTGTTGGATTGAAATCACGCCACTTTCCAATCCCACGATCCCGATTTTCCACAGAGTATACCGTCTGTTTGAAAATTCAACTTTATTTCTGATGAACGCAGTTCTCGTTTGCGGCTTGGTGTATTATTCAATTCTGTCTTACATTTGTCTGCTGCAATACTATTTGGGTTAATATAAATGCGGCGACACTCCTGGTGGACAGCCTGCTCTTCATCTGTGTAGATGTTATTACCTCGTTCACCACTTGCCCTGTTAATACTGACACTGTCTTTGGCTCTTAGAGTAACTGTTGCAGATCCATTGTTGAAAGGCTTGCTACATAGAACACATGGATCGATGTTGATATCTGAAATTGAAAAGTACAGTTCATTAAACAGGCCAAATTACGTTAATCTATGATATAAAAAATGCGAAATCTAAAATGGCTTTCTTTGGCAACTTTCGCCAGTTTATTTTATGGCAACAACGGTACAGATTAAAGTTACGTAATTTCCATACCAAGGGTACCGTACTTGAGCGGTAATTATTATTGCCCATTGGCGACGTTAGCATCAGCGCCTTGCTCGACATATATATCCTTTAATACTTATATTTACATATTGCACATTGCGTATGACCGTTTTATGAATCACCGTGTAGCTTACCTGATTGATGTCTCTTATAGTCGATAACATAGAGGTGTATATATTGACTAGAGTGTATTGTGGTCACGTGATCCCCATTGACGTAACGTTAACGCCGTGGGCCATCACTGGAGACCGACCGCCATGTTTCATCCGGGAAAGAATGACAGAAATGCTCGGATGAACGCTATGTAAATAAAAGAAAATAGACTGACGGAGGGCGGACGAGCCCATAAAAAAAGCAGTTCTAATTCAACAATGTCAACCAAAAAAATGATGATTGAAAGGTCTTACCTTACTGTCCTAAAAACAAATTCGTTTTGGTCAACTGGTATATTTTTGGGACTGTATTATTAAGAATAACTCTATCATAATCATCATAAAGCATAATGAAAACCGTGAACATGGTCATCGTGTAAAATGTAATGCAGACCTGACGAAATCATGTTTATTTTATTAATTGAGCAAAGTAAACGTCCTCGAATGTCCAGATCTATAAAGTGTTCGGCTAAATTTTGAGCATTGCTCCCCGTAGTTCACATAAAACTTTATTTTGGATAGATCTAAATAATTTGTTGGACGATTTGAAATGAAAGAAAGGACTGCTTGATTGACAAATAACTATAACGTCATCCAGATGATAACGGGTGATAAATAAATAATACTTCTATCATTTACCAGTAGAATAATATCTGATGCCAATGGGAATTATTTAAAAAAAAAAGGAAAATATTAACAGGGCTAGCAAGGCCTTAGTAGGCCTATGTGGTTTTCAATTTCCATGGTCTGGTGTCTGATTTTACTTTGGTTGAAAAATACGGCGGTATATTAAATTTTACAAAAGACTAACTTAATGAGATTTTAGTAGTAGCATCGATTAAAAACAATATCAGGTCTAATTTATTTACAGAATTTGACTGGGAATGAAGTTTTCACGACTTTGTCATTATTATTAACCATGTTTTTAAACCAGTTTATGCATATATAATATGCGCAATTTCCATAATAATTAAATATACATTAATTTGAAAGTTCGCTAAACACACGAACATTGTAATTATTACATAATAAAAGTATCAGTACTAATAAATTAAGTGAATGGACCCGCCTGGTTTCCGGCCTTAAGCTTCGAGTGTTCGACGTCTTCTTGCCATGTTTATTACACTATTATCTTGATTATACTATATCTATTAGATCATTATTTCACTTATAACTTATCATGCCTACTTATGAAATGATAATTCACTCCCTTTTCGCCTGACATTGATTTAAACTAAACAACAACTCTCCGGCATGTTGGTATCTGCCAACGTAGGCGAAATCATCCCGGTTGTAAAATGGCTGCCAATTTCCATAGTCGGCACGCGATCACGTGACCACCATACACTCTAGTCAATATACACCTCCATGGTCGATAATTAGAAAACAATTCCTCTATATTGCTGGACGTCATTCCGTCATTTCGAATCTGTTTATAACATTTTTCGAATTTTCGTTCAGTGGATGTTTCTATACTTTTGATATGTTATTAAGAAATATGTTGCGTGTAGATAAAACGAATAAATTTGTGGAATGTCGAACCATGTATTGACTGGACTATTAGTAAACTAAAGCGAACGCGTTAGACCATTCATGCCCCCCCCCCTCCTCCTTCCAATAATAATGTAAAATAAATGGTAGTAGAGGTCATGTGGAGTAATTTCTATAAATTGCCCAATAAATAAAATCTAAGAAGTCCAAATTCAGTTGCATATAACGGGTTTTGTTAAACTCAAACCTTAAAGGCTCAATACCACTCTTGTTGTAACTGAATAATATGTCCCAATCTTTATTCTGGTCAACAAATTGAACTATTTTAGAAGATTTCAATTAATTGATGATACAAATTTCATCTTAACACACCTTATTTAAAAATTTTGAAAAATTCAACATAATGGTTTGAAACGTTTAACGTAAACCTTTTCAAATGAAACTTCGATTTAAAAATATTTTCGAACCCTCTGGACAAGTAAAATAGGATGTAATGGATAATTTACACAACAGGTAGGACACTTAAACATCTAGTAGTTAGATAGAGATATTATTTATTTTCTGGAGCTTTCAAGCCAGCAAGAGTGTTATTGTCCCTTTAATGGAAATAAAATTGTAAAATCAAATTACTGTAAATGTCTGTAACTTGAAGTCGTTTGTCAGAGTAGCAAAAGATATTTCGTTTTCCAAGTCATGCAACATATTCCAGAACATTCTAACATCCACTTTTTCTGTGACAATTTTGTGTTGCCAGGCCTTTTAAATTAGATTAATCTACAGATGGACAGAAATACATGGTTGTTGTCCTGTGTCATACTGGAGAATCTTATTTTCTGCTATAAACCCAACTTCTTCATTACAATGACATTATTTTATACAGATTTGGGGTATGCTTTGTCTATTATTAAAGTCTTGATTCTGACATTCCAGCACTCGGTTCATTTGTTTTGCAGTGATTCCATTCGTGTAACTGGTACCCGCCTTCTACCCACTGTGTAACTTTAGGGTCATTTGGATTTCAAGTTCTTGTCTGGTTGATGGAACTTTTTTTTGAAAACTAAACCTTTATTTGCAAAGAACAGTGGCATTGATGAAATTGGAGTCGTTTAATCACTTAATCTCTCCATCATATAGGTATGGGATTGGTTTAACAGACGATTTAACTGCTTCTTATAAATTTTTCATTATATAATATATCCTATTCAAGGGTACGTTGTCAAGGACTTAAGGATAGTCTAAGAAATGAAATGAAATGGGGTTTAACGTCCTACCGTTCAATATATAGACTAAGAACTCGCAACTAATATAGGTTTATAAACCCAGCTCTCCCAGTTCTGCCTTATAAGATTAGTGGGGGAGAGAGAGAGAGAGAGAGAGAGAGAGAGACTAACATTTGGTTCAATTTTATTTCGACCATAATTTCCCCTAACCCAGCTATATTTAATACACAAGTACTGGCTTTATCAATCCATTATCCTAAACATTTATCTTTATATATTTCTTTTGGTTAATATTAAAAGGTCACCGTAGACGACTCTGACGATAGCTTAATGCTTTAACGTGATCACGAAATTTGTCACATCGTGAGTAGCACGACACCCAATCTTTATCACACCATTATTCTGTATTGGGAAACTTCCTGTCGGGCTCCACTATTGATTGTTATATAATGATTTACTATCGCATGTAACTCATTTTCTTAATTTATTGCCCACAACTTCCCCATACAGATATAACGATATACTGAGGGAGATTAATGGTACAATCAGATAGACGTCATGCCGCTATAATCTAGTTTTAATCTTCAAATAGTAGAAAAGGGCAGACGTTAATATGTTGTATAACATTCCTGTTATCTCAAATCTTTATTACCATGTTACTTGTACATTCTAATTAATCTAGATTAGAAAGGCTATACTCAAGTAATCTTTTTAAAGGAGATCATTCTAACAGTAAAAGATCTCAAGTGAGAGGAAGTTTGCCACGTCACAGACCTCACGGTATTATTTAAACCATGAAAGCAATTTGATATTTGAAATATTTGACATTTGAAATATTTGAAATGTTTGATATCTAAAATATCTGATTCTAACTGTAAAATACTTCAAACCTAGGAAATTATATCTAATTTGAATTTCGCCTTGACACAGACCTTACGGTATATAGAGAATCTCC